GCATGCTCTCTCAGTTCAAGTTTGTTCAATAGGTTGCCAGATTTCTATAGAGCCCTCCAGGCGAAACCTTACAATCTTACATTTCTCTGCAAACTTTGCCCGCCGGCTTTCAGTAAAAAAATCCGCACTTCAGTAACATCCAAAGCAAATCTGAAACGGCATATGTACTGAAATGGAATTTCAAATGGAAAAAATTAATAAAATAAAAAAACATTTGCACCTTAAAGACTACTTTAAAGACACTTATGTAGAAAACTCTCAGGAAACAAGTGAATAAATGGTTTGACAATTGAATTAAACAAATGATGAAGAAGATTGAGCTTAGTGACAGCATCAGGGAATCAGCCAGGAAACTCTGAGCGGGGAGACAGCGTTGGATGAGGTTTGCCAGGAACGGGGTAGAGAAAGAACTGAACCAGTGAGGCAGGAAGGACGGCAGTGGGTTCCTGAGGAGAACTGTCTATGGAGAACTGCCTGAGTTGATGTTCTTGGAGCCAGCTGGATAGAAGACGGTTGAGGCAGGAGAAGGACCAGGATAAGGACCAACGGCACGGGCAGGAGTTGCTGGGCCGACTGAAGTGCAAGATGTTCTTATGGTAGTGGGGGTCAGATGACACAGAAACCTTAGCACATGTGCCAAGCAAACAAGCGAAAACTCTGTCATATATCACTTTAATGAAAAGCACACTACCGATACAGCTCCTCTGTCATCTGGTCGAACGCTGCAAAATTATATTTAAAAAGTAGAAAATCTATTGATGCATTTGAATACTCATATTTAATTAGATCAACCAAGGAAGAGAAAGTCTTTTTCCCATGTGGGATCATTTTGATCTTATTGCAGAGAATAAATGATTATTCTGTCCTTATTTCCACTTTTCATTAGTTTAATTTCTGATTATTCATATATTCCTTTCTGTAGAATATATGAATTAGTTTACATGCATTAACTTTTATTTCTATTGCAGGGAAAATGTAGGATTTGCTCCCTGGTACTGTATTAGTTTAACATCATAGTGCCTGGTATGAGAGAGAAGGTTAACATTCCAGTGATGAACTGTGGTAATTCCAGAAGCAGGTGATGGAGGAGGCTGTAGTGAACATGATCATTACAGAGAGCGGGGGGGGGAGGAGGATGGGTCCTGAGAACTGCTCCAGCTGCTCCACCATATTGGAATTGGTGTAACACAAACAAGGTCTATGGATGTTATGTCCTTTTGTTGAGTTTTTACGGCACTAGCGGCTTGTTTTTATGGACAGTAGGCTGACAGGAAAGGGGGGGGGGGGGGGGGG